CACCGTCATCCTCTGCATCAGAGAAACTGTCCGCCCATCGGAAAAATCTGCATTGATCGGCAATGCTTCGGGGGCATGTATAAAACTTCCGACCGTAGCTATGTGCCTGCCGTGAGGTCAAAAGTGTGGTTTGCAGGCCACAATGACAAAGCACTCGTCGGGGGGGAGCAGACATCCTGGAAGTCATTTTATCCTGAAAAACAATGCAGTATAAAACATAATTATTACCATATTAGGTAATGAAAAAGGCTATCATCAAAATTTAAATATATAAACCGAAATAAAAACGCGAACCCCTTCACAAATTGTGTTTACAGCAGATCTGAATCGAAGTAATCAGTCTCCAACTAATGAGGCAGTAATCTCCTCACGAAGGGCTTTCATTTCACTCGCACCTTCTCCATCTTTCGTGCAAATTGAAGCATTGTCGTTCTCCTCTGTTGATAGAGATTGACCAATGCGGTATTCATAGGCTTCGACAGGTACTTCGTCATCATTGACCTCTACATGCTCGAAGTCAACATTAGCTCGAGTTGGATGCCGTCGAATATAGTTAGTGAGAGCCATAGTGGCTAACACTACTTGCACCTGTTTTGGAAATGGATAAGGTGGCATATCTTGTAGTATTACCCATTTTTTCTTCCAAACTCCAAAAGTCCTCTCAATAACGCCTCGTAAGGATGAATGTCTTCTATTAAAGACCTCTTTTCTGTTTCTCGTACGATTGCTGGCTCTCTGAAAATCTGGAAGATGATACATTGTGTCAGGATAGGGTTTAAGGTACCCCCTCTGCATTGGGTAGAGTAAGGTACTAACCCTGTGGTGGGTGAGGAAAATTGTACTCCGGATTTCTCGTTGCAATTTTGAAGATTCTACTATCATGTGCGCTGCCCTCCCATCCAGCCATTGCAAATGTGAAACACATGTTGAAATCACAAACTGCCATGATATTTTGAGTTGTGCTCCCGGAACGGCCGATAAATGCAACTTTCTCGTTTTCCGATACCCTAGCATGAACATGCGCTCCATCGATTGCGCCAATGCAACCCTTCACAAATAAAGTTAAATCATTTCAATATGCAACCCATTAATATTGGTTTAAATTATGAATGTGTACCTTGAAATGTGGCATGTATCGGGCATCGTTGCGAATCTGTGCTGGCGTTCTGGCAAACGTTGGATCTTCGGGTTTTATTATAGCTTGCGCTAAACTGACGAGGGAAGTCAAACCCACTGAGAAGTACCTGCTTATTGTTTCCGATGAGTGTTGGAATCGTTCCATGGCTCCCCGCATTGACTCGTTCTGTGATAAAATATAAAGTGTTATG